GGGGGGGCAGGGGCGGGCAGTGTTGCCATGAGCCTGCCAAAAATCGCGCAGCCCACTGCTTGGAGATGGCCTGAAACCGTGGCTTAACTACCCTGATTAAGTTCAGGGAAGCCATTAATCCATGTTTAACAGCATGTGGATTAACGGCCTCCCTGGACTTAATCAGGGTAATTAAGCTGCAGTTTCAGGCCATGTGGCAATCTGTGGGGCAGGACTGCTGGAGCCAATCAGAGGCATGCGGGAGGCACCAAACTCAGTCTGTGAAAATGGCAGCCAACCCTGGGATCTGCCCACAAAATCAGCCAGCCGCCTCCTTGACTTCAGGCTTTTCCTTGTTTAACCAGTCCAGTAGACCCCTATTTATTAGGTTACTTACTGCTTGACTTGCATGGGATAATATTTGAAGGATCTGACTCCCACTGTGCAAGGTCCTGTACAAATATGCAGCAAGAGAGATGGCCCTCTACCTCAGAGGGATCCCAACCTAAATTTAAGAGAAGGAGATACAGCAAAGAGCCAGGGAGCACAGGCGCTGGCAGTATTGACATCCTCACTGCTGCCCAAGCCCTGTTGAATTGATAGGCATGATGGCAGAGAAAAATCAGCTGCTACCTCTGTTTAATCCTCAGCTTTTCACTAAGCCTGCATGCCATCAACAATTAGTGACAGCTGGCTAACAGAAATTCAACTAATTAATCCATAAACAACTTACTTCGCTAGCATCATTTGGCAACAACTTACCAGCATTACTACAGCAATGCTCAACTGATAGACAGTCCCTTTGAAAAATTCAAATTGGCATAAGTAAGAGTGATCTCCCCGCCAGGTTTCTCTAACTTGCTAAGCATTAAGAATCGCAGTTTTCTGGTGCGTCTCCATCCCCTCGTCACAAAATATGAATTTGGAGCAGCAGAAAATCTTGGTCTTTCCACCATCTTCTGGATGCTGATGTGGAACTATGCAAGTGTGACACAACTGGTAACACACCGCAGTAATGAGACCAAGACAAACATGATGTCAATCTTTAAAATAAAGTTAGTGGAGTGAACAAACTTTGTTGCCCTACTGCTGGGCCAGCGATCCCTGGGATTCCTCACAACCTTGGATATATTTCATTTGGTGCTCGCACCATCCCTCTCCTGTGTGTGCTGCAAAAAACCTATGTGAATTAAATAAAGGGGCAGCTGCACATCTGAACTTCTATCTCTTGGATAGCTGGAGTGTCATCTGGTGTCATTTGAATTCCATGATCAGTTCCCTAAACCAGTGGTCTCCAAACTTTTTTGATCGCGCACCCCATCAGTAAAAAAATTTTGAGTACGCACCCCCAATATATGTATATTTATATTAATATAAATATAAATATTAATAAAAGTTCTAATATTTTCTTCCCATACCCCAATGGATTGTCTTGCGCACCCCACTTTGGAGACCACTGCCCTAAACCACCCAGCATTCAAATGCATCTACTCAGGAAACCTAAAGATAAACTTCCTCTGTAACTCTCCGATATTTACATGGGTCAATGTACCCTCCAGTTACGTCTGATTGTCTTCATTAGGCTCCAAGACTAATCAGACATGATAATGACCCCAAACTGAAACTAAAAGACAAGCCAGTTACCAAGGCCAGAGACAAACACCATAAGGAGATTAAGTATCAGAACTAAAACCACATGCTGAGGATGCAGAAAAAACTGCAAGGGAAGGATACGAATGGAACGGGGAAGAAATACGGAGAAAAAACATACTGAAAGAGAGACTTAAGACTCACTGCAATCACTGAATTTATCGAGCCATCTCTGCCTTCAAGACCCACATGAGATTTTCCAAAGTGCCTGAATGAGTTTGAGGAGATTTGTGCTCCTGACTCATTTAGGCCTCGTCTACAACTTTTGTACCAGGAAGAACTGTGGCAGAGATGCAATACTTTACTTAAATTGCTATACCAGAACAACCCTGAGCATCGGCACAGCTATACTTATATCTTATAACAGTATAACTTATTGCCCTTCCCCTGTAAGCATGAGCTATACCAGCAAAGATCATTTTGCCTTGATGCTGTGACAACATTATGGGAGTCCAACAGGATTTCTTTAAGTATAGCTACCCCTCTTGTTAAAGTGGAACGGCTTCAACGTGTAGATAAAGCCTGAGGCCCTTTAGAAAAATTTCATACCACAATCCTGCAGGGAGTTGTGTGAGGCAAAGAGGATGAAAAGTCCCAGTGAAGTCAGAGCAGTTTCTCCTGCACAGGGTTCCTGGGAGGACTGATGCCCAGCGATACCAGGCATCCAATAATTCTCATGACTCTACGGTAAACCCAACTCTTGTGTCATGTATGATGAGGGTGTGGTACCAGAACAGCCAAACCATCTTGCTGTGGCCAAGGTACAAGTTCAAACCTCACCCTGGACTCGTGCCAAAGGCTGCCATTCTGTTGACCCACATGAAGCTGTTAGCTATGTTAGTCTATAGCAGAAAGTAGGGCAGGCTGGCACCTCAAATACTGACTGGTTAGTCTCTAAAGTGCCACCCTGCCCTGCTTTCTGTTGCCCTGGCTGTAAGTGTACCCACGCATCCAGTCCAAGACAGATGGGCATGTTGCTGGTCACATCAGTCCCCTGCATGCCACTGGTGACAGAAGCTGGTGGAAGGCAGGGTAGAGATGCACCTTATACACAAACTAAATCAGAGATGCATAAGCGTTCATGAACCCAAACACTTCATTAGATAATTGGGGGTGGGGGCTTACCCATGTTAGCCTGACTGCTTGCTTATCTTACAAGGACCTTTTGATGATGTGCAACAAATGACCATGAAAGATCTGATAAGTCAAGAAGATCCAAAAAAGTGCTCACATTTCAAAGAGCACATTCATATGACCTCAATCCCCAATAAGATTCTGGAGAAAATTATCGAAGAGACCCTTCTTGACAAGCTGGCTGAGGGCAACATCCTGAGGGACAGCCAGCACAGGTTTGTCACAGGTAGGTCTTACCTGACCAATCTCATCTCCTTCTATGACCAGGTGACATCACCTGGACAAGGGAGAAGAGACTGACATCATATATCTGGACTTTAAAAAAGCCTTCAATCTGGTGTCCCATGATCTCCTCATGGAAAAACTGGCCAACTGTGCCCTCAGCTACATCACAGTCTGATGGTTGGGGAATTGGCTCCAAGGTCAGACCCAGAGAGTAGTAGTCGATGGTAGTGAATCATTATGGCGCTCTGTGACCAGTGGCGTCCCCCTAGGCTCTGTCCTTGGACCAGATCTATTTAACATCTTTATCAACGATTTGGACATTGGCGTCAGAAGCGCACTGGCCAAGTTCGCCCATGACACTAAACTTTAGGTCATTGTGTCCACACCTGAGGACAGGCTAGTGATCCAGGCCGACTTGGATAAGCTTAGTAAGTGGGTGGATACAAACCTGATAATGTTCAACACCGATAAATGCAAGGTTTTCCACCTCGAGGGAAAAAAAAAATCTGCAGCATGCTAATAGGCTCGCTAGCACCATGGCTGAAAGAGACTTGGGAGCCATGATTGACCACAAGATGAACATGAGCCACCAATGCGACAACACAGCTGGTAAAGCAAACCAAACTCTGGCTTGCATATACAGATGCTTCTCAAGTAAATCTCAGGACGTCATCCTCCCATTATACTCGGCCTTGGTGAGGCCGCAGCTGGAGTACTGCATCCAATGCTTGGCTCCACAGTTCAAGAAGGATGTCGAGACGCTTGAGAGAGTCCAGAGGAGAGCCACACGCATGATCAAAGGACAAGAGAATAGGCCTTATGAAGAGAGGCTGAGAGCCATGG